GGGGGGGGCGGGGGAGGAGTCACAAATGAATGACATGATATTGAGATGGGAATAGTCAGTTATTCATCAAAACACATTCTAGTCTTTCTAATCAGCAATGTCAATCAATCCCATTCCACAGCAGGCTATCAGTTCTGTTCCTATTTCACAATTACCTATTTGTTTCCATGTTTGATTTTGAAATTTAAATAGACGTTCGCGAGTGAATCCGATGTCTGAATAAACGCTATGATTTATGTCATTAACCTGTATTGATTTTTCAAATATCTGTTTATCATAACCCTTTTAGTTTAGTTTAAGCAGAGTTTATACATGCGATTTCAGATGGATTAGAAAACAAGCTTACATCATCGTTTGTTGTAATTGTACCTACTCTTCCCCGTGTTTTTTTTATACATATGTTGTATCTTTACTCATAACTCCTCATTTTGGAGGGAGGATTGGGAATAATAATTATTCACCATTTATGAAATACTTGATTTTTACTAATACACTGTACATGTACCTATAATCTAACGGAGTTTAATATATACAACGCTGTGATAGATTTTAAGTAAGTCGAACGCCGCAGCCCCCCACCCCCCCCACCCCTCTTTTTCGTAAATAAGTACATATGTACATGTATGTGATTTTTCTGTATTTAGTTATTGCATCATAGATATTGCTATTTCTACAACATATATGGAATATATTGATAGGAAATACATCGATAATTTCAAAACAGTCGTGCTTTCTCCTACAGTGATTAGTCAATAGAATATTTTAAATCAAAACTATGGCTTGAAAAAAACCCCGCTACAGGTGTATTTCCGTACAATTGTTCCAGGAATAATGACTACTCTGAGTAATTAAATGTATCGGTTTTACCGATTTCCCACAGACAAAATTCCTCGTATTAACCTGATACTATAGTATCCTTATAAGGAGATAAGCCGTTAAGGTTTTGGTTAGTATTTTTTTTAAAGTTAGATAATAGGAAGTAACAAGCCGACACACTGTCGCGGAATATTTGGTCTCAATGTCGACAGATCATTGTTTTTACCGAACTGTAAACCACAGGTATCTGTTGGCACCCTCGTTCCCATATCGAGTACCGTACGAGTGCATACCTCAGCCGGCTTATAGCTGCCGAACAATGCAACAAGTTGAAACGAAAGAACCCGTCAAATATAACACAATAGCAAACCTTTTGAATTTATTTTTTTCAAAAAAAGTTTAAACGGTATTTAGCAATATTACGGTGTGTACACATGTTGTGACTCACAACTTGAATTCTATGGACAGGAATGTGCAGAGTCAAAAGGAATACGATAATTAACGTATTGTTCCTCAAGAAAGATACAAAACAAACTGACAGTCCCGACCCAAGCCTGCCCCGGGGTGCGTCTTTCCGTGTCCGACATTCCGATTATTAAACACTCATTCTCCCAGGCAAACATTCCATTGTACCTTATCGGAG